TTTTTATATTTAAAATAATCATAAAATAATCACAACAAATGCATAAAACATAAAATAACAATAAAAGCAAAGAATTAAAAAATAATTAAAACATTTTCAACTAATAACTTTTTCTGAGCTGCTGTTTAGTCCAGATTAAAATGTAAAAATGTGTACGTGTAAACATAAAATAAATATCAAGTCTTTAAGTAAATATGTAAATGCTGTTTAACTTTATTATAGTTTTTAGCCTGCTGACATTCATTTAGATTTCAGATGTTGCGTGTTTGTGATGCTGTGTGATTCTCGTTAATGAAATCTAAAGGATGCTTCAGCTTGAAGAGAAAATGGCTCGAATGTTGCAGTAATCCTCCCTTGAAACCAATAAGACTAAAATACAAGCAGAAGTGAGCGAGGAGGGATGCCAGCACTGCGCTGCGACTCGGGACGAGTTCTCAAATGTTTGCAGATGTTGGCATGGGCTTTCCAGCTCTCTCATGTGGCCGTGGAAGAGTCCGCGCGCCTCAGCGCCGTAAATAGTCTGTTGTAGGCGAACCCTGCGCGTTTGATCTCTGCCGAACAAAAGGAAACGCTCACACACTCAGTTTTGATTTTTGGAGGAGGACCATCACCTCGTTTGATGTGAGGAAATATTACGAGGCTTGATGAGTGCAGCAGTTTTGACTGAAAACGCTTTCTCAGTGAGATCAGACTCATTACATTCATGCTGATAATTTCTCTTAAATGTGTCACGTCTGTATTGTGTGAAGCTGACATGAATGTAGGCCGCTCACTCATCTTTGGCACAGTTTCAAAACTTCCTGATTACATCAAAGTTCAAAATGCTGAATTCTACATATGCAGAACCCTGAAAGGGTGAGAAAAACACTAAAACTGGGTTTTAATGGCACTTTAGGCTGTTCAGAATGAAATCCCAGCATACTACATATTGAATACTGCACACTAAGTATGCATACTGCTATTTTCTGACAAAAATATATCAAACTGTATTCAACAGTATTGTGCTACATTGTCATCACATGACCTCAACATGAAAGTAGCATCAAGTCATCATTATTATAAATATTTAGTTTCTTTAATTTCGCATTTTTAATTTTTGTACTTACTACGGACCAGTTCAAGGGTGAAAAAACGTTTTTTTTATGGTTTTAATGTCACTTTAGGCCCCTTTGTTCAGAATACAATCCTAGCACACTAGTTACTGAATATTGCACACTAAGTATGCATAATGCTATTTTCTGATAATAACGTGAGACATTACATGACCGCAATATCTAGTCGCTATTATTGAAATACATTTATTTCTACATTTTACATTGCATTTTAAATTTTTGTACTTAATATGGACCAGTTCTAGGGTGAGAAAAAAACTGGGTTATAATGTCATATTTAGGCTGTTCAGAATGAAATCCTAGCATACTACTTACTGAATGCTGCACACTAAGTATGCATACTGCTATTTTCTGACAAAAATATGTGTGAAACAGTATGAAGTATTCAACAGAATTGTGCTACATTGTTGTCACAAACTTTTTTTTGTTTTTGTTTTTATTTTGCATTTTTAATTTGTGTACTTAGTATGGACCAGTACAAGGGTGAGAAAAACATTTTTAAGGTTTTAATGTCACTTTAAGGTCCCTTTGTTCAGAATGCAATACTAGCATACTACTTACTGAATACTGCACACTAAGTATACATACTGCTATTTACTGACAAATAATATGTGAAACAGTACATGACCTCAATGTGAGACTAACATCCGGTCATTATTAAAGGGGTCATATGATGCTTTTTTAAATAGCATTATTTGGTGTATTTGGACGGAATATGTTGACATGCTTTAATGTTCAAAAAACACATTATTTTTCAAATACTGTACATTATTGTAGGTCCTCTATGCCCCGCCTCTCTCAAATGCTTCGTTTTCTACAAAGTCCCTCCTTCCGACAAGTGCAGTCTGCTCTGATTGGCCAGCTGACCCAGTGCATTGTGATTGGCCGAACACCGCAAGCACTTGTCGGAAATGTAACGCCCCTTACCATAATCACGAGCTTCAGCTTTCAAAATAAATGTAAAGACAGTAAATAATGTCATTAGTTTTACCATCAGTTCAAGCCCGAAAGGGGAACAGACACAGTAATGATGCAGTACACAAGCCGCGATTAAGACAGCTGACTCTACTGTGATGTGACGCTGTCTCTCTCTCTCTCTCTCTAACACACACACACACACACACGATGCGCAAAACTCCACATTTGAACAGTCAATAGCAAATACTTAAACTAATAACAAAACAGTAGCTGATTCAGAAGCGCCAGATTGTCATAGCAAAGTCAGAATTACCTCCTCTCCTAGGTTCATGAAACGGTCGTCCATAAAATGCATTGCTGTTCTGTTGTAAGTAATCTTAAAGATTACTAAATGCATCTACTTTCGGAAGGCCAAATAAAGTGCTTTTGCTTTCGCCTAGAAACACACAGCGTCTCCCTGACATGCTGCTTCAACACTAACTGCGGTTACTGAAACCACGCCTTCTTTCTTTGCGTGCACATTTGGGCGCATTATGCAAATATTCCCACATAGTGAGGTAGATATGTGGGGGCGTGTTAGAACGAGCCGTTTTAGGGGGGTGTGGCAGAGTCTTAACTTTGATAAAGAATATCTCTTTGGTTTTGAGACTTTAGTCTTTGCAACTTCAGGGATCTTATCAATGCACAATCAGCTTGTAACACTCCAAAGAGAAAGGAAAACTTGAAATCGCATCATATGACCCCTTTAATATACATTTATTTTTATTTTGCATTTTAAATTTGTGCACTTAGTATGGACCAGTTTTAGGGTGAGGAAAAAAAGGGTTTTAATGTCACTTTAGGTCAATGTCAATTTAGGCTTTAGAATGAAATCCTAGTATATTACTTACTGAATACTAAGTTTGCATACTGCTATTTTATGACAAAAAATATGTGAAACAGTATGCAACAGCATTGTGCTACATTGTTGTCACATGACTTCAAAATGAGAGTAGCATCCAGTCATCATTATTAAAAAATACTTTTTATTTTGCATTTTTTAATTTTTGTACTTATTACAGACCAGTTCAAGGGTGAGAAAAACACTAATAACTAGGTTTTAATATCACTTTAGGTCACTTTGCTCAGAATCCTAGCATACTACATACCAAATTCGGCATACTAAGTATACATACTGCGATTTTCTATCCTAAAAATAATATGAGAAACAGTAATCAGTATGCAACACTTTCAGACAGTAGTATGCTACATTGTTGTCACATAACCTCTACATTTTACTTTTATTTTTTGTACTTAGTACAGACCAGTTCAAGGGTGAGAAAAACACTTCATGCCATTCTTAAAAAATAAATAAATAAATATTTCATTCATTTATTTTTTAAATAGATATTTGAAGTTTTTTTGTTTTTTTTCGATCATGTATACAAGTATTATTTTCTAGAAGTAACATAAGGCAGTAAACATTTCAGATTGTAGTATGCTACATTGTTGCCATCATCTCTCTCTCTCTCTCTCTCTCTCTCTCTCTCTCTCTATATATATATATATATGGCTGGATACTCTTTCATGTTGAGGTCATGTGACAACAATGTAGCATACTACAATGGTGACTGGATGTACAAAGTACACTGTATAGTGTACTACATACAGCTTCGCTGTTAAAATTGTTCTTGATGTTTCATTACAAGTTCTTCAGATGTTTTATTCTGGAGTATAAAAAGGATTCTCCTGTAAAACCCTGTTTTGGTTTTAACTGGAGATTTTTCGTGAAGAGGCAGGAGTGACTTACAGTGCTCAGGGTCTGCGGCTGTGATTTTCAGCGGTGTGGTTTCGGTGTCGGCCCAGCTCTCCGCACACGGTACGGGACTGCCGGGCTCCGTGCCCTCGCTGGGCGTCAGACTGACTTTATCCTGAGCATCTCTGCTGTCCAGAACCTCCATCCCCCAAACGCTGCCCTCATCCTCGCCTTCAGAGCCCAGACAGCGCTCCGGCTCACCTGAGAAAGCACCACATTAGCACTGACGTTACAATGGCAAAAATAGCTCAGAAATCGATCATACTTGACCTAATGAATGACATTCACAGATTTATAAATGTTGCCATTATCATTTCATATATTCATTTATTAACTCTGCTCAATATCTAATGCTGTCTAATGTGAAAATCATGTTTTTTTACAAAAAAATAATTAATAAATAATGCATCGCAAAAATGTCTCAGAGTGTTAACATAGTTACTATTTATCAGTTAATATATCAATTTGTTCATTTGGAAATAATATTTTATTATCTCGGCTCAATTTCTAATCATGTCTAATGTGAAAGCATTGATTTTTACGATAAATAAAAAATTGCATCGCAAAAATAGCTTGGTAATTGAATCACACTTGATCGAATTAATGACATTCACAAATTTATAAGTGTTTCTACAATAATAATCAATTTATATATTCATTTATTAACTTGGAAATACTATAACTTCATTATTTCTGTTCAATATCTAATGCTGTCTAATGTGAAAGCAGTGATTTTACAATAAACAAAATACACAACAAAAATGCATTGCAAAAATGGTTCGGAAATGGACTAATCTTGATCTTATTATTGCCATCCTCACATTTATTTTTTTCTGTATTTTTAATTTTTGCATGTAGTAGAGACCCGTTCTAGGGTGAGAAAAACACTTATTGTTTTTAAAACAGCATTTTAATGTCACTTTAGTTCACGCAATCCTAGCATGCTACTTACTGAATATTGCATACTAAGTAATGCATACTGCGATTTTCTCACTCTCTCTATATATATGAAACAGTATGTGGTTGCCACAGCATCTATTAAGCATTTTATTAATTTATACATCCATTTATTATTCTGGAAAAAAGAATATTATTTAAATGATATTTAACCTTCATGTAACCAGCATGAAAAGACTTGCAGGAATTTAATATAAGCTGACAAACAGTTTTAACCCTAAATGTCAGGCAAAGGGTTAAGATTAAGATCTTGTGAAAAAAAAAACAAACAGTTAACATTAAACGGAACAGATGAAAAAGCACGACGAGTGTGAAGTTCTCAGAAAGAGAACATGTTTTTAAAGCAAACAAGTGAACATTCAATTCATGTCAGCAAAGGCTTTTAAAATGATTCTTGTAGCATTAGATATACGAAGTAATCCTCACGCACACACACACACACACACAGACAGATGTGTGTTTAATGTTTGAATTGTGATTCGGCCTAATTGCTTAAATCCTATAAAAAGTCACAAATGTGCAACACGAACTTGATTAAACAGAGAACAGGCTGTGATTCACATCAGCTGGCTTTTATACATTTATAAATACACTTGAATGGATTGGCAGCCGCAGACTCACGGCAATATAATTTTCCCGAATGGGAATTGGGGTGTGCAGTATTTTTGGGTGAAGAGCGCATGAGAAACTGAAGGCCTGAAAGCTGTTAGGACGGCAGATTATGCGAACGCACCAGACACACCAGACACTAGTTCACTTGGCTTGACGTGACGTGTTTGTTTAATACACAAACGCCATATAACCTATTTTGTCTTTTCATCTTTTGTATTCATCAAGAAACATATGACTGCGCATATCTGTGGGCGAAGCGGAATCGAGAGCAAGCGCTTTCACATCGTGAAACTGGACATTAAAGAAAATCCCATACTAGTAATATGACATTTAATCATCAATGCACTTTTGCTATGAATCATCATTTAACAACCTCTAAACAGGTCTAAAATGATGATTTCTATTAGCAGTATTTTTTGTTTACCATAAACGGCCGTAAATGCAACATAGAATCACTTTTGCAGTTTTTGTGACGCAGCTGAGGATTACACATTACATGTTGCTGATTTGTGTACTATTCTGGTTTTGTTGCACCACTAATATTGTTGCTGTTTAATCATAAATATTCTCCTTCTTTTGTAAGTTTCTTTATGTGTCTGCTAAACGAATAAATGTAAATATAAACTATCAAATTAATGCAATTAAAATATTTGTTGGCACTTGTGTAAAAGTATTAGGAGTTGAACTTTTAAGTGTTAAAATAACACTGGTGTGTATATTATTAAATATTTTCTTTATGTGTCTGCTAAACGAATAAATGTAAATATAAACTATCAAATTAATGCAATTAAAATATTTGTTGGCACTTGTGTAAAAGTATTAGGAGTTTAACTTTTAAGTGTTAAAATAACACTGGTGTGTATATTATTAAATATTATTTTAATATAAGATCATTGCTACACTGTTTACAAGCTCTAAACAAGTTTAAAATTATCATTTTTTTATTAGTAGTATTTTTGTTTCCCATAAATGCAACACAATTACATCACAAAAACTCTACCCCAGTAGATAAAAGATAGAATGCATGAAATAGAAGATAAAAATGCATGAAATATTGCTGATTTGTACTATTCTGCTTTTGTTGCACCACTAATATTGTTGCCGTTTCATCATAAATATTTTTTCTTCTTTTGTAAGTTTCTTTATGTGTCTGCTAAATTAATAAATGTCAATATAAACTATCAAATTAATGCAATTAAAATATTTGTTGTGTAAAAGTATTAGGATTAACTTTTAAGTGCACTTCGAGTATAAAAATAACACTGGTGTGTATAGTATTAAATCTTTTTTATTATCAGATCATTGCTACAGTGTTTACAAGCTCTAAACATGTTTAAAATGATCAGTTTTATTAATAGTTTTTTTGTTACAGTACACTACAGCAGAATCACCTTTTACAGTGTTTTTGTGATGCAACCATGTTCATAGGCTTTCAAGAAGTAAAAAATGCATGAAATATTGCTGATTTGCACTATTTTTGTTTTGTTGCACGACTAATATTGTTGCTTTTTATCATAAATGTCCTTCATTTGTATGTTTCTTTCTGAACATGATTAATGCAAACTAAATATGTGTTGGCACTCGAGTCAAAGCTGAACTTTTAAGTGCACTCGAGTGTAAAAATAGCCGTGGTGTTAAAGCAGTGTGGAGGATTGTGTTGTGGGCGATCTTTCATCATTCTGGCGCTGAACTATGTGTGTTTATTAGCGTCTCTAATCAGTTGGTACAGCAGGGCAGGAAGCTACAGTTTCAGTTAGACTGTAATGGAACAAACATACAGCGCTGACGCATGCAGGAGTGTGTGTGTGTGTGTGTGTGTGTGAGTGTGTGTGTGTGTGCG